AGCAACAGAGCATATGTATAATTAGAATTTCTCGGTGTGGGTTGTTGGCATTTTGGGCTGGACAGTTCTTTCCTGGGCAGGACTAATTATCCCTATATTACTCACGGGAAAATTGAAATATTGGTGATGATTATTTTGGTACAGCTTTGTAACTTATTCACCACAGAGCAACTATCTATCTAGAACCTATTACCCTGTGTCACTTTACCTTGTGACTAAGTTAATTCTTTTTATCACTTGTGAATGGCTAATTTTTTCTTTTTAACTGATTTTGTTTTATTGCATTAGCTAAAGAATATATGAAGCCACATGTGAGATCTATTATGCAGGAGCTGTTACACATTGTTAGAGAGACAGAAAATGATGACGTAACTAATGTTATCCAGAAGATGATATGTGAATACAGTCAGGAAGTAGCCTCAATTGCTGTTGATATGACCCAACACTTGGTAAGACTGGGCAAGTTTTATGTTAGTATGGTATAAAGGCCTTGAATAATCTAAATAAATTGAACTCCAAAATTTGGAGTTCAGTTTTATAGGTAACTATAATGTTATTGTAAAAATATTTGTTCTTACAATTTTCACAGTTGTTAATTTTTATAGTTAATTAGATTTAAATCTAATAACATTTAGGATTATCTCTTTTTATCTGTAATATTCTGCAATTTCATAATGCTATGCCTGCCTTACTGTGAACCTTCTAAATTTTCACTTTCTGAGCTTTGAATCTTAAAACTCATTTTCTTCAGTTTTGGGCAATTTCTTGTATTACTTCTTTGATGTATTTCTCCCGACTATTTTCCTTGTTTTATAGTTCTGATGTGGAATATTGGGCCAAGATTGAGTTTCTGATTTCCTTACCTTTTCTCTCCTGTCTGCCTTATCTGTTCTTTTTATTTCATTTTCTAGGTGATTTCTTGACCGTCTTCTAAACCTATCCAATTTTTCAATTGAGTATATTACTAGATTTGTTTTCCTAGATGTTGGATTTATTTGTTTAATGACAACCAGAAGTTAAATATTAGTTATCTGATTTTAATAGCTGATGTACATTCTACTCTAGTGACTAGATAAGGGAAAAAAATAGTTACACTCTTATTTAAAACATAACAGGTTGTATCATTGGTTCACTTGGCAACGTGCATAACTTAAAGTTTGAGCAATGCTGATATTTACATGTGTGACACTGTCCTTTTGTTAACTTAAATAGTGAGGGGTGAATATAACAGTACTAATTGTTGAATATGTTTTTGTTATTTTCGTAGGCTGAGATATTCGGCAAAGTTCTTCAAAGTGATGAATATGAAGAAGTCGAAGACAAAACAGTAATGGCTATGGGAATTTTACATACCATTGATACTATCTTGACAGTTGTAGAAGATCATAAAGAGGTGGGATTTCTTTGTTTTATTTTGTCATTATAGTAACATTAACTAAAATTATATGCATATGGACATGAATTTTAAAGTCTTGACTTTTAAATTGCTATTTTGTTATGTTACTAGATTTCAAAAATTATCCTCAAATTTTAAAGAAACATATTAAAATGACTACGGGAAAATATTATATGTGGTTGTAAAGTATATAGTGTATCTGAGTTCAGTTGAGCACATCTGCTATATGCCAGGCTAGGTTTTTGGGGAAACCAAATTGAATAAGACTTGTGCTCCGCCTTCTGGAACCCATAGTTGAGTCTTCTTGGTAGAGAGCGAGAGCCGTTCAGTCACAGTGGCAAAATATTAAAGAATAGAACAAAATTCTGATGTAACAAATATTGTGAGAATGGAAGGGTCTAAGAAGAGCTTAAAGCATCATCTTTCCTAACCTGAATTCCAGACCAATATTGGGATAAGAATTTGTTTAGGCAATCATCAAGTGCTTTCACATTCATTAGCTGATAGAATCTTACCTAAGTCGTCATGACATAGGTAGAGCAGGTAATGGTAGTATCCTTTGGCAGAAATGAAAAACAAGATTCAGGTAGAATATCAGGAGACTTGTTCATGGACACAGAATTTTGAATTTGCCATCAAATCATTCTGGTAATATATCAGTTTATCCCCATCTGAAACCTGCTGCTCTCCTCCCCGAATATCACATAGCCTTTCCTTAACTCACATTAGATCTGTGTTCTTTGCTTCTATCAGCTTCAGTTGGCTTGTTTGGCAGTGATGGCAGCTCTTGTTTTATACAGGGAGGACTTAGGAAGCAGGTGCCTGTTCTTTAAATAGCATTGGTAAACCCTGGGGCTCTTCATTTATCCTGTGTTTATCACCAGTAGAAGATTACCAGATTCTTAAAAACCGTTCGATGTTCTTCTCCTGGGCAGGCCTTCTTTCACCTAAAAGGCTTAATGTGAATTTTAGTGTTTGTATTCATTATTTTATTTTAGTTTTGTATTTGTGTTGAAACTGTATGGGCCTCTTGGGAACAGTGAGATGTTCCAAATTAAATTACAACAATTATACTTAAAGATCATTCTTTCACCTTTTATGTAGAGCTTGTATTTTAAACTTGAAGAGTCCTGAGAAATCACGTAGTCCAGTTTTCCTAAGTATGTTGTGTGTGGAGGATGACCAGTCATAGAATGAGCAGCAGGATTATTTTGAGGCCAAAACAGCATTTGATCTTTTTGTTTTAATGTTTTTACTCTTGATATTACATTTATTTTGAATTTCAAATAAAGTTAAAGGAGCACGTGAATTTATTGTGATTATCAAGGGAGGCAAGGGTTAAAATTGAGATGCACTAATCAAATCCAGCTTCCTGATTTACAGGTGAAAAAACTTAGAGCCTTCAGCTCCGTGGCTTTACCAAGGTCATTGATAATTAGAGGCAAAACAAGCACTAGACTCTTGGTCTCCTGATTGCCTGTCCTATGATTTTGAATTTTAGCTTGTTAAAAGCACACTTTGAAAAAATTTTTCCTCAAAAGGAAAAATCACGTGTGTATGAATACATGTAAAATTACCTAATGTGTGAAGAGCACAATTAAAAATTTAGAACAGATGCTTAAGCATATGCAGTTTTGCTTAATGGTTTTAAATATATTGACATGTTTTTAAACTGAGAAATTTTGGATCATTTAAACTTGAAGACAGTAGTTTAAGCTGAATATGAAAAGAATGCGCTTGAAAGTTGAAATAGGATTCTTAGATGAAAAAGGTAACCCATAATGGATTTTAACTTTTACTTATTTAAAGAATATTTAATACAAACATATGTCGAAAAATTCCAAAGGTGTGAGAAGGTATTTAGTGGAATTTCACCTTCTCACTCAGCTCCCCAGTCATCTGATTCTTCTCTCAAGGAGGTAGCCCCTTTACAAGGTTTTTTTGTATTATTCCAGAGGTTTTTCTATTATACCCAGGCAAACAGTGAGTATATATATATTTTTAATGAAAATGATAGCATACAGTTTCATCTGCCATTTTTAACTTAATGTAGCTTGGTGATCCTTCCATATTAGTCAATAAAGTCACATATTTTTATGTAACTTTATGTACATTTTTAATAGTTACATAATATCCCTTTGTATGACATATCAAGTTTATTTAACCAGTCCCTTGTTAATGGATATAATGTAACTATCTCTTGTTAAGTAGAAATTTGGTTGTTACTAATCACAAACGTTGCTGTAATGAAGGGCCTTTTACATGGCATTTTGCACATGTAATAATATATCTGGAGGGCAAATTCATTTAAATGGAATTGCTGGATCAAAGGATATATGTATAAGTTTGAAGGATATTGCTAACTTGCCCTTCATAATATGTACCAATTCACACCAAATCGATGTAAAGCTCCTACTTTTTTTTTTTTTAAGATTTTTTTATTGGGGAATTGGGGATGGGAACAGAGCTGGGGAATTGGGGGGAGGGGAACAGACAAGTTGCTGTCCTTTTGTTCTTCAGTCTAGTTGTAGAGGACGTTGCTTCAGTGGCCCAAGTTGGTACCATCATTGTGCTCTTCCTGGGCGAGGCAGATCAGTCACCAGCTTCTGGACGGCCGCTCACGGCGGCTGCTGGCCGCTCACACTGGCTGCTGGCTACACACCATAGCCCATGGCAACCCACTAGCTGTCGCCAGCGACTCACGGCAGCCCAACTCCAGGTTGAGCTGTTGTTCAGCATCTCAGCTGTAGAGGGTAGTGTCACTGGCCCTCATATGTGGGATCCGAACCAGGGCCCTTTGGTGTCCCAAGCCAGCTCTTAACCAACGCGCCACTCGGCTGGCCCTCCTGTTGGTATTTTTATTGGAATAATGTTAAATTTATAGATTAATTTAAGGGTTATTGTGATGAATTTTATTTTATTTTTAAATTTATTTTTATTTTTTTATTTTAAATAACATCTGCTTTTTTTAAAAAAGATTTTATTGGGGAATTAGGGGAGGGGAACAGACAAGTTTCTGTCCTTTTGTTCTTCAGTTTAGTTGTGGAGGACATCGCTTCACTGGCCCATGTTGGTATTATTATGATCATTGTGCTCTTTCCGGCTGAGGCAGTCGGTCACCGGCCATTGGACGGCCGTACATGGTGTATCATGATGAATTTTAAACTAAATGTTTAAAACTTGTCTTTAGGTTACCCAGCAGTTAGAGAATATCTGTCTACGGATCATTGATCTTGTTTTACAGAAACATGTAATTGGTAAGTTTGAAGGTTGAGTAAAAAGGTAAATTGAGATTTAAAAAAAAAATTGATAAACTTCCAGTGCATTTTTAGTTCTATGAATTCAACAAGATTGACAGTTTTGAGAAAGAGTTGATTGCATTCACTTCAGTTTTTGGATATACTGTCTAATTTCTGTGTCTTCATTTAGAGAGAAACTTAATACATCCAGTTAAGAAGTTTTGGTCTTGGAATTTTTAAAGGGCAGAGAATTTAAAATTTTCAATTTTTAGAAACCAGAAACTGGGATGAGGTTTAGGCAAGGTTACTTTAATCTGGTATTGAAAAATGTGAAATGATAGGCATACGGCATATCACAAGTGTGAATTACTGTTCTATTATCTATTGTAGTGCCTGGCTTCTGAATAGAATCAGTAACTAGGGCTGGGTGTAATAAACTGATGGGAGTTTGTAGAGGAGGCTACTTTTCCATAATATCCAAGCATTTTGAAGATACTAGCTCTAAGGCATTTAGGCATGAGGGAAATGCAGTATGTATTATAGTATGCAGACAGAAGATGCAGAAAAAAGCATGTTACTGCTTAAGAGCAGTTGTCCCAAACTTTTTATTTACCCAATTAGTAAAAAATCGAGCATGCACTTCAATATATGAATAATACTTGAATATGTATTTAAAGGCAATACATATATATTACTATACTACATTTACATACATAAAAAATAGAAATGTATAAGGGTGAGATTAAAAATGTTCTAATACATTCTTCTTCCATCTCAGTGGATTATCTTGCATACTTCCTGGGGGACATACCCTTTACTTTTGAAGGCATTGCTATAAAGCAGCAGTTCTCAAACTTTGGTGTGCATAAGAATCACTGAGGAGCTAGTTAAAATGAAGATTCCTGGACGATAACCCCAGAGATTCTGATTCTTAGTTTGAGGCAGTGCCCAGGAATCTGCATTTTTACTGAATATCCCAGGAGATTCTCATTCAAGTGAAACAGTAACTTGGAGGTGCCTCCTGGAGACAAGTGCTTTTCTTTACTTTCTTCCTAGAACACATGCATAACAGGTAACATAATCTAATAGAAAAGAATAGTCACTAGTAGTTGCAAGAAATTAGGTGACTAATTTTTAAGTCCTTGCTATTGTAGAAATAAAAGGAATTCTTAATGAAAGTGTTACACTAGTAAACACAATGATTTATGTGAGACTATTGGAGTCTTGTTTTTTTTTTTTACCCCTTATAGCCCCCAAGGTCAACTTTTATTTTTTAGCAAAGCATCAGTTTGCATAAAGATTATGCAAGTAAGACTATTACAGTGTCCCCCCTTGTCCTCAGGGGATGTTGTTCAAATGCCCCCAGTGGATGCCTGAAACTGCAGGTAGCACTGAACGCTGTGTATACTATGTTTTTTCCTATACATGAATGCCTATGATAAAATTTAATTTATAACTTAAACGCAATAAGAGATTAACCATGACAATAATAAAATAGAATAGTTGTAACAATACACTGTAATAAAAGTTATGCGAATGGCTGTGGGACCATTATTAAATAAGAGTTACTTGAACACCAGCCCTGTGAAACTGCAACAGTTGATCTAACAATTGAGGGGCAGCTAAGTAAGGGGCGGGGAGTTTATACAGTGTGGATACTCTGGACAAAGGATGATTCATGTCCCAGGTGAGGCAGGACAGGATGGTGTGAGGTTTCATCGCACTACTCAGAACCTTAGTCACGTGCAATTTCAAACTTACGAATTGTTTATTTCTGGATTTTTCCATTTAATATTATTTTCAGAGTGCAGTTGACTACAGGTAACTGAAACCATCGATAAGGTGGTATCAGTATATTGGAGTTATTTAAGTATTATACTAAGACACAGGAAAAGAGATATAAAAATTATTATATACTTAAAATGCATTTAAAAAGGAAGGCAGAGAAGTTTTTCATTTTTCAATTACATGTTCTAGAATTACAAATATTTGCTTTCCTTCTAGGTAGCAGCAAGAATTATTTTGTGATTATTCATCTGTACTTTTCAGGATCTTGAATTATTGCTATTGGAGAAGATATTAAAATTGGGAAGGCGACAAGCTCAAAAGAATATATTCACTTATATCCTTAGTCATGGAACAGATTGTAACTGAATAGTCTCCATTTAAACTTAAAATACTCTTGAGGAGGAAAACTATGAAGTAAGGCAAAGGGAAATAGTTTATACCAAACGTCTGCAATCTACTTATACCAGCTGTTTGATTTGAGCAATTGCAGCGTCAAATGTTATGAAAGGGAAAAGGGCCTATTTCTTGGGTGAGTGGGCAGAGGAGAAAACCACAGTTCAAATTGTCTGTCCCCTCTAATATCCCATCCCAAGTCCCAAGGTGATGGATGATTTTCTTTATGTTTTTAGCTGTGATGCATTTAATGTTCATGGCCCTTTTTGAACCAATATTTGGCTGTATGAGCTCTCAGCTGAAAAACACTGTTCTGGAAGATGTCGTGGGTTGACTCTGTTATTCCAGGATCCCTATTCTG